TTACTTTGAAATAAAAAAAAAAGAATTATTGAATTCAATATTAAAGCTTGCTCTGTGGCCCTGAGCCCAGCTTCCAGGTTCTTCTGGGATGGAGGCCAGGCCTACCTCCCATATCCCACATATCCAGGTTCTAGGAGTCCTTCCAGACTAATGGTAGCTGGCTCCTGACCCTCTTAGGGTGGAAATTGCCCCTGTCTCCTTGGGCTCTTCTTTGCATTCTTAGTTCTACCTATTTTGTCTCAATCTTGCAATCATCCATCCTTTCCCTAAATATTTTGGAAAGTACATAGTAAGTCTTGTTGCTAGGTCTCAGGGAGGACTCCAGCCTCTGGGGGTTTGGGTTGACCTATCTCTGTACTTCCAGAATAGATGGCATTACACTTCATACTCTTCATAGTCTTTTTTTTTTTTTTCTTAATTCCAGTATGGTTGATTTACAGTGTTGTGTTAACACTCTTCATAGTCTTAAGTAGCATTTAGCAAATATTGTGGAATAAATATTTAGGAAAGCATGATTTAGTTGGATGCATGATATAATAAAAGCAGAAACGCTACTTATTGGGTGTATGTTCACACATGCTTTGCCAGGGTCAAGAATGCTCCAGGCTGGCTATTCATATTTTGGCTATTCATATTTAGGATCTCAGGGGTTCTCCCTGATACTCTTTTCAATCCCAACACCCACTCATTCCCATCATCACACCCCCATCTTCTCTCAGAAACAGAGTAGATGTCTTGCTTACCACTGTTTCACCAGTGCCTGACACACAGTGGAAATCAACAAGTATTTGTTGAATAAATAAAGACACAGCATGGGAGGGGGAAGAGATGACGAAACAGAATTATGAAGAGTTTAAAGCTCGAAATAAAGAAAATGTGGCACATATATAGAGAGGAGTACTACCCAGCCATGAAAAAGAATGAAATAATGCCATTTGCAGCAATGTGGATGGACCTAGAGGGTATCATATTAATGAAGCAAGTCAGAGAAAGGTAAATATAATATCAATTATATGTGGAATCTAAGATAATTATACAAATTAACTTATTTACAAAACATAGACTCACAGACATAGAAAACAAACTTACAGTTACCAAAGGGGATAGCAGAGTGGGAGTGGGGGAGATAAATTAGGATCTGGGGATTAACATATACACACTACTATTATATAAATTGGTAACCAACAGGACCTACTGTATAGCACAGGGAAATATACTCAATATCTTATATTACTAACCTATAATGTAATAATTACTATGTAATTGTAATAATAACCTATAATGGAAAAGAACCTGAAAAAGAATATATGTATAATGGAATCACTTTTCTGTATACTTGAAACTAACACATTGTAAAGTAACCATACTTCAAGAAAGACAAACAGAAAATATAAGAACAGTAACAAAGGGAGACCAGCCTTGAAAATTCCCTGAGAAGACAAAACCAGTTTAGTCATAGAAATAAAGCTTAATTTAGCTTATTTTGGGAGACTTAAAAAATAAAAGAGGCCAGATCTCGCGTTCTGTCTGCCGTTTCTGTCAAGAGAAGACGGGGTTACCCTATTTTGGTTTCCAAGCATAGGCTGCTTTCTTGGTCTGGTTATCAAATAGCTGGTCAAAGCCTCCGCAAGCGGGTGCTTGGAAGGTGGTGTTCCCGTGAGCTGTGCTGTCTGCTTCCCCCTGCAGGTGAAAACGGGAAGGGTGGCCCCGGGGGTTGGAGGGACCGCAGGAGGGTGCAACGCCCCCTGGTGGTTTAGTATGGTATCACTGCCGACGAGCAAAATAAAGGGAGTGAGAGCCTGATCCCACTTCCACTGAGTAGATGGCTGCTGAAGGGGCAGGGAGCCCCAAGTAATCGGGATCATGCGGTACTGTGGCTGCGCTTGGTCTCCGCTTAGAGTCCACACTACCCCTTTCTCGCCCTGATATCAGGTTCTTGATGTTTGAAGTCCCCAGCCTCACAAAGGGTACAGCTCATGTTCCCATCTTCTACACAAGACACACTCACCCAAGTGTGTGGTGGAAAACTACCACAGCCCACAATTCTCCACGGTGAGCTGGACTTACAAGTTTGCTCAAATGTGTTTTTTTTTCACCTGTGATTTTTGGACAATGGCTGCTTGCTGATTAAATAGTAATAACAATCTTATGATCATATCAACAAAAACTCCTAAATCTTAATAACATAACATTTTTAAAAATTTGTGGGGAGAATCAGCGATGGCACTCATTCCCACTGCAGTGAAAGTGTAAAGTCCTAACCACTGGACTGGCAGGGAATTCCCCAGCATTCATTTTTATATAAAAACTTCAAAGAACAGGAATGGAGGGAGAGACTGTCCTGAGACTGACAGAGTCCCTACTTCCAGTGCAGAGCCAACAACACGGTGGAAGAACATCCTTTGCTACTGCCTTCACACACCTACTCACAGCAGTTGTGGCACACATTATAGCAGCCACTCAAGTACTACATCAGGCACTAGGGGTGTAAAGACAGAAAAGATACAGAGTCTTCTAAAAGACCCTGATAGATCTGGTGGGACCGTCCCAGCACCAAGCACAACGCCTGGCACATTGTAGGCTGGATGAAGAAATGAGGTCCACTCCAGAATGTTGTGTTGCAAGAGAAGGTTATCTGTGGGCAGGGGCTGGTCTGGGAAGGATTTTCAGGTGAGGTGTGGCAAGTGTGCATGCTCCCACCCCAGAGGCTGGTGGGCCTGGCCTCTGACCCACACACCCCTGATTGGGGATCATAATTTGGAGATCTCACAGGACATTGCCACTAACCAGCAGTGTCTTCCGTTTCTGAGAAAGCTTGCGTTTCTGGGTATTCTTGGTATCTGTGAAGAGGGAATCATCTATGGACACTCCTAAAGGCCGCAGTTGTGCTCTGCACAGAGAAGGAGAAGGAAGTGGTGGGTGACAGAGCCTTGAATGGGGAGTGCACTTCCACCCTTCTCAGAACCACAAGACATGGCCTCCTCTCTCCTCCGAGCCAGGTTCTGGGTCTTCACAGTGCTGCCTCCAGATTCCCAGAGGTGCTGTCTACAAGCTCCCGATTCTGGGCTCACAATATTTTCCTACATTCCCAGAAACATTCTCCTCATCACTGGAATCTCATGTACTCCTGCAGTGGCATAACACCCCTTACCAGGAACCTATAAAGCCACGTGGGCCTACACTTCCTTCAGCATTCATCTGTGGCTCTAATGACCATTGTATGTACATAACCAGCACTTTCTAGGGGTGTGATACCAAAGGCAGGTGCCATAGGACAAAAAGTACAGAGTCTGGAGTCAAGAGTCAGTGTGAGAGTCTTGAGCCTATACTTACTAAATGTTAGGACCCAGAGGCTGACATCTATCTTATAACAGGAACTCTCTTGGGCATGTAGTTTAACTTCACTCAGCCCAGTTCCCTTACAAGGAAGGATGGAGACAGCATCCATCCTTTTTTTTTTTTTAAACACATAATCCTCTGAGGAGTTCTAATGTTTTATTTTTTAAAAAATATTTATTTGGCTGTGGCTTTTCTGGCTATAGGAACTTATTATCATATTTGCAGTGTCCAGATGCTGCACCTGTGAATACAGGCAGGAGCTACCTTGAGGCTACAAGATGTTCTTGGGCTGCTTACAGATGCTTTTTTATCTTCAGCCAGTGGGTTAAGAGGCTGTTTATCCTGTGGCTAAGAGCTCAAATCTAGAGACTCACGTGGCTGAGATCAAATACCAGCTCCATGACTTATAAACATGTGTAAAACACATGATCTCTTCAGATTTCTATTTCTATGTTTGTAAAATGGTGATATTACCACCTCATAGAGTTGCTGTGAGGGTTAAATATGGTGTATGGAGCACCTGGCACTTAATGCACGCTCAACACGGAAAAGCTGGCTGTGACTAATGATAAAGTGCGCCTCCCTTTTTATTGGGCTTCCCCTGTGGCTCAGCTGGTAAAGAATCTGCCCGCAATGCGGGAGACCTGGGTTGGATCCCTGGGTTGGGAAGATCCCCTGGAGAAGGGAAAGTCTACTCACTCCAGTATTCTGGCCTGGAGAATTCCATGGACGGTATAGTCCATGGGGTCGCAAAGAGTCGGACATGACTGAGTGACTTTCACTTTCACTTTCCCCTTTTACTATAATGTAACCACCTTCCTAGGCTGACAAATCATCTGAGATTGTTTCTGTACCAGTGTTCCTGTGGGGCTGGAGCCCCAGACCAGTAGACAGAGGCACGAGGTGCAGAGGTCTGAATCAGGTACCCTTTCTCTTTCTGGAAGTACTCAAGGCCTCCTCTCCGGCCTCAGACCGCCAAGCGCCTACCTCGACGTGGTGGGGAAGTTGAGGGATTGCGAGTTCGGGGAGTCCATGACCCTAGGGCAGCCGGGCAGCCTGGTAGCCCGCACTCGCGGCCTGGGAAGCTGTGGTAGTGTACAGTCCGTCACCATGGCGACCAGATCCCAGCAGCCCATCGGCGGGGGCGGGATCAGGATTGTGTCACGCCCCCGAACCCGGCTCCCGCGCGCCGGGAGGAAAGCCAAGCAGCAAAGGTGTACTCGGACGGGGAATAGGGATTGAGGGTCTCCTCAGAGTCAGTCATTACAGCGGATATGACCCTAGCGACCAGAGCTGAGGCTGGGGGATAAACAGAGGCCACAGGGGAGGGAGGTGAACTGAGAGACCGGAGCTGCGTTGCCAGCGGGAACTGTAGTTTTCGGTGTCTCAATGTCTCAGCTGAGCAGGCTTATGGCCCAGCAGGTTTGTACTACATCTCCCAGAGATTCTCACCAGCCCGAGCTGGTCCGCCCCTGGAGTGCTCTGCATTATGGGGAGTGGAGTCCGAAATGTGGCGAGGCGTGGTGAGGTCCAAAGCGAATTGCAGGACTGGGACTCGGTTTCCCTGCGGCCCGGGTTGGCTTGCTGGTCATTGGCTGAGCGGGGCGGATCTGGTCCTGCTCTTCCCCGCCCCCAGTGACACAATAGCAGCTCCCTCCAAGATGGCGGCGGCGACGGCGGACCCGGGAGCTGGGAGCCCGCAGGTTGGAGACTCCTCCGGCGGGGCCACTGGGTGCGGGCTGCCGTCCCCAGGGGAGCAGGAACTGAGCCGGCGCCTGCAGCGCCTGTATCCCGCGGTCAACCAGCACGAGACGCCGCTGCCGCGCTCCTGGAGCCCCAAGGACAAGTACAACTACATCGGCCTCTCCCAGGGCAACCTCCGCGTCCACTATAAAGGTATTGGCCTTCTGGCCGAGGGGAGGAAAATGCCAGAGTGTCTGCGAGGTAGCTGTGCTGCCCAGCTGGTGCTCCATCATGTCCCTTCCCCAGCTCGGGTGCTCCGGGTTGGGCCTTGGCTCCTGCAGGGTGCCTAGGGTAGTGGAGCTGACCGGGCCAGGGATTGACTGCCTTGTCTGCTCTGCCCTGAGACACCCGGTGTCAGGAGAACCGCAACAGGTGTCCGAACCAGTTCTGGGTTGGACCTTCTTCCCAGGGCCTTCCTGCTTGTCCTGAGGTAGCTCCAGGGACTCTAGCTGAGCCCTTTACCAACGCTGAGTTTCAAAAGTGTCTGAAGAAAGGAGTGGTCACATTCCCTCCCTCAGCCAGAGGTCCATGAGCTTGCTCACCTGCCAGACATCCCAGACAGGGCCTGGGGTTCTGCCCAAAGTCGTGGGGGCATCTTCCAGGGCTGCCTCTCCCTCCCCTACTCTTCCAAGTGGACTGCCTGTGTCCTGAAGAGTCTGCCAGCAGCAGTAGGAAATCTCTCATGAAGGCACCCACATTGCATGTACCCTCCTGTGGTTTCTGTGGTGGACAGAGTCCCAGGCAGGGCTGCTGTGCTTAGGAGGAGGTGAACCAAAGGTGGGAGGTTTATGTATTTGCTTAGTTGTTGTCTAATTATTTCTTGGACTGTGCAAGGGCTTTCTCTGGCAATGAAGGGGTAAAGTTGCCATGGAGCAGAGAGGAATGAGGCTTCCATTTGTAGTTCCCTCTGCTGAAATTTCTTCCTTGCCCTCTTCTATTAGGTCATGGCAAAAATCACAAAGATGCGGCGTCAGTGCGTGCCACCCATCCCATACCTGCTGCTTGTGGCATTTATTACTTTGAGGTGAAGATTGTCAGCAAAGGAAGAGATGGGTAAGCCCTTCCTGACCACCTTTCCCCCAACATGGAGCTGTTCCCTGTGGTCAGAGTTTGAGGTCTCCTGGTTGACACTTGTGCCTGTATGAGCTGCTGAGGTGCATGGGTCTGGGCTGCAAAGGGTTGAGTAGTGGGTACCTGTTACCCGGCTGTGGTCGTGACCTGGTCTAAGCAGTAGCTTTTGATGGCAAGTAGGTACATTTTGTAGAAGAGGGGCTTCTCTTTGGTGATGATGTAATGACTGTTTCCCTCACAAGTCAGGGAAGCAAGTAACAAGTTTACATTAACAGTTCAGCGTCCGGAGTCCGGAATGAAGTTCCCCTGCTGTTGTGTGGTGTTTGTCACTTCCCTCCTTTCACACTGTTGCTGTATTCAAGGTTCCTTTTTATGGCATTTAGTCATGTAGAGGCCCCTGGGGACTTCAAAGACAGAGTAGAGTCTTTGCAGCATTCATCAAAGCTGTGTCAACCACTGGCCTGTCATCTTAGGGTAAACAGCATGGACGTGGTCAGAATCAGGTGACCTTGCTACTCATAAACTTGTTTTTCAGTCCAGTGACTTGAACACCAGTTGGACCAGCTTTAGGAAGGTCCTCATTAAATAGTCAGCACTGGGGAGGCTCCCTAGTTTAGGGTGATCTAAGCAGATATAGGAAATCAGAGGGGAAATTTTTCATGTCTCTTCCTTTTCCTCTCCTAGTTTTCCTCTTTTTTTCTGGTGATTATCACAAAGCAGTTGTTTAAGTTATGAAATAAAATCATTTTAGCTGTCTTGGAAAGATTTTACTCATCAAACCTTAGGTCTGGTTTGGGTGGTTTGCCAACCCCAACAGTGACCTTTGTTCCAACTCTGAATGTCTGTTCTTGAGCATTCAAAGTACTTCCTTTCTCAAGGGACAGTCCCCCTTGTGGTACATGCAAAATGCATGGCCAGGGGTCTTTGCTAGGGGCAAGACTGCCAGAGTTGGAGCTTTGCTTCCTCAGTGAAGTTGTAACATCCCTTCCTGGGAGGGCTCTGTGGTTGTGGGTAGTAACGGGGCTTCCATCTGCTTGTCTGTCCTCTGGGGAGCTAGGCCAGCATCTGAGCTACCTTTAATCCCAGAATTCCGTGATTCTGAAATTCTGACCATGGCGAGCTATTACATCTTTTACTTTTATCCCCATGTAGTGAATTTACAGACAGGAAGTTTATATTATCAGAGCTCTTTATTTATTTGTTTTTAAATATATTTATTTATTTGGCTGTGCCAGGTCTTACTTGTGACATGTGGGACCTTAACCCCCCAACCAGGGATTGAACACAGGTCCACCTGCAGAGGGAGCATGGAATCTTGGTCACTGGACCACCAGGGAAGTCCCTATCCGAGCTCTTTAGAGACCCCAGTTCGATTCCTGGGTTGGGAAGGTCCACTGCAGAAAGGATAGGCTCCCCACTCCAGTATTCCTGGGCTTCCCTTGTGGCTCAGCTGGTAGAGAATCTGCCTGCGATGCAGAAGACCTGGGTTCAATCCCTGGGTTGGGAAGATCCCCTGGAGAAGGGAAAGGCTACCCACTCCAGTTTTCTGGCCTGAAGAATTCCATGAACTGTATAGTCCATGGGGTTGCAAAGAGTTGGACATGACTGAGAGACTTTGACTTTGAACCTTCTATTTTCCCTTTCCACCGTCTGATAAAAGCACATACATTTAATGTGCTCGAACTCACGTGAATAAGAATATCCTCTTAAGATGAAACAAACATGGCAAAAATAGTTACAGTGTAGACTGAAACGTTGGTGCTTCAGTCTTACATTGCCAGAGAAGTGGATTGGCATGTCCTAACCTTGTAGGTAGGAAAGTGGATCATTTTGGATAACAGGTGAGCTAGTAAAAGGAGAGAATAGTTTTTCAGAAGAGGAGTGTTTAAATGCAGAGACCTGGTTTCCTTCACCTGGCTTTTAACCTTTCAATTATAAGTGGCTCTTGCTGTAAAAGACCCCATGTCTTGTCAGATTGTCTTGCTGTTGGTGTTGCCTGCAAATCCGCAGAAAGTTGAACATCTTCTCCCAGCTTTCCTACCATTTTTTTTTTCCTAGCATTTTTACATGTGGTAAATATAGCTGTGAAGTTGACCTGGAAACCTCAGTTTTAGAAAGGTCGCAAGTCACGTATGCTTATGGTGGCCTGCTTTAGTTGACCACTTTCAGAGGAAATGTGTACGAATGTCCGCTATGGCCTCTTTATGGAATTCCTGAAAGCCTTCTTATGGCTAGGATATAGCCAGACGGGCCAAGTGTGGTTTTGAGGAGGCCAGGGGCTGTTCTAGGGCAGACAATGATCAGCTTGTTTCCTGTTTGCCGTCAGTGTTGAAGGTGTGTTTCTGACTCGGGTTTGGTCCACGACCCAGGTGTTAACCGGTTGTGTAGCTTTCCTGTATTGTCTAGTTCCATCTTCACGGCATCTCTGGAAAGTGGCTGGAGCGGATGATGTACCCATGTACCTGTTTCATGGGTGAGCCCTGAGCCCCAGTGATGTTTGGTGACCTACCCTGGCCACAGGGCTTAGGGTGTGCAGTGGAGTAGCCTGACTTGTCAGGTGCCTCCACTTGATCCCAGACACGTGTGTCCACCCTCTTGCCACCTTTCCCTGTTGCATTCTTCCCTGGGGTGGAGAGAATGTCCAGTCGGAGTCTTAGGAGGTCCTAGTGTTCTTAGAGAACTGAAAGGTGCTTGGTGCTGAGTGGGGCCAGAGAAGTGTGGCATGCTCTGGACTGGGCTTTGTTGACTTACCATTCTGCTGAATCTGTAGACCTGTTTTTCTGTAGATTTGGGGACAGGCCTCCTTTTTAAAGGGTGTTGATGAACCCAGTCATCAGTGTCATTGTTTTCCAGAAAGGCCTTTGTTCTGAAGATGTCTTTTGTAGAAGAATACATGAAGCGTGTCTGATCCCCTTATGGCTCAGACAGTGAGGAATCTGCCTGCCATGCGGGAGATCCAGGTTTGATCCCTGGGTTGGGATCCCAGGGGTTGGGAAGATCCCCTAGAGAAGGAAATGGCAGTCCACTCCAGTATTTTTGCCTAGAGAGTTCCAGGGACAGAGGAGCCTGGCGGGCTACAGTCCACAGGGTCACAAAGAGTCAGAGGTGACTGAGCAACTATACTTTCACTTTCAAGCGTGTCTAGTTAGAAAGATTTCATTTCAAGGGTTGTATTGATTCGTACCTGCTGTGTGCCAAGTGCATGCTTGGTATGGGGAGAACAACAGGAAAGCCTGCACAGGCCAGCCTGGTCCTCAGAGAGCCCTTGGCCTACCTACGAAAGGGTGGACTGGAGGGCTGTCTGCATGAGGAGGCAGAGCCTGGGCATGGTATTGAGGGATGAGTAGGAGTTTCTCAGCAGCTGAGACCTGTTGGACTTAAAATGAGCCTGGCTGGTAACTGACTTGATGTCTGGGCACTCCTCACATATAAGGGAGGGCTGGAGAAAGAAGGGGTTATGTTTGAGCTAAGAGCTGGGCTCACACTGACGGGTTTCAGCTGCATTTTGCCGAGTCACCAGAGCTGGGAACCCCAAGAGGAGACATCAGAGCCCTGCCACTGGTGCCAGGAGATAAGGGCATCTGGGTTGATCTTCTTAGGAAGCCAAGGAGGCCCTGAAACCGAGGGTCCCTGAGGAGTGATGTGCTCAGGCAGAGTTTGTGGACCTTTGGGTGTCTCCGGCTCTTAGTGATGACGCATGAAGGGTGTGGCTGGCCGGGCTGACAGATGGTCCAGTGTGACCCTCAAAATAGACTGTAACATCATCCCCGCAGCGGCGGCAGTGGCCTCCTGACATGTGATGAGTGGCTCTGCCCAAGAACAGCAAGCCTGGGCCAGAGCACTGGATGGAATGGTGGGGGTGGGGGGCTCTCCTCTCCTCTGCAGCTGATGCTCAGGCCCTGTGGCCCTCCGGCCACAGCCAGCCTGCCCTTCCTTGCACTCATAGCTGACTTTCTTTGGCCAGTCAGCAGTGTGGTCATCAATTAATTCTCCACATCACAGCGAAGTACACATCTTTTTGTCCCAGTCCCAGGCCTGGGCCCCAGGAACATAGGCCCGAGGCCCATCTGGAGAGCAGGCAGATATGCCTGTACACATGACCTCACAGAGTGGTGTAGCAAAAGCCCATTCATGATGTGTGCCGTCCCCAAGGGTGGCCCAGTAGTTGGACTTCCTCCTGTACCTGAGAGTTTGGGAAAACTTCATAGAAGAGGTGATGATGCTGAATCTGGAAGGGCAGGTTGGAGCGTTCCAGGTGGACAAAGTGAGAAGCGAGGCCCTAGACGGAGGGAGCAGGGCATCAAAAGATGTGGCACATGGAGCGTGAGAGAGGCAGGAGCCAGGTCAGAAATACCTGGCCAGTGTGCTTTGGCCAAGGAGCTTGGGCTTATCCTGAGGACAGCAGTGTATGAGGACTTTGGATCTGCCTGCATTTTTGAGACTGGATAGGGGAGAAGAGACTCCAGTGGTCTGATTCCACCAGGTCCCGCTGTCTGAGATCCCTGTCTGGTGCGAGCTAGTGATTTTAGGTCCTTGATTCCAGCCATGGCTTCCCTACAGCAGTTATCTTTTCTCTCTGTTGGCTGGCCTCTCTCCTGTTTGGTGGGATGCAGAGGTAGGAGGTTGAAGACTGGTAGCCAGAGTGACTTCTCAGAGGCAAAAGGCCTCTGTGTGTGCTGGTATTCTCTGGTACTCTGAGTTAAGTCCCATCTGAAAGGCAACACTGTCCATAATTTTCCATGGAGACACAGAGATCCGCTCACCCAATTAAGACCTCACCTGCCATGTTTCTGGTTTGGTGAGCCACTTGAGCACAGGCCTTCCAGTGAGAGGCAGCCTGTGGCTGGCCCCTCACCCTGGGGTTCCCCACTCCTGTCGCTGTGCTGTGTACAGTGTGGTTGAGAAACGTGGTGCCCATCTGTGGACTTGGGGAAGGTCTTGTCCTGCCGACCATGAGCAGTTGGTGCTGTCTTTGCCCAAGG